TTGGCAATAGAAAAGAAGAAAGTTCCCCACCTATTGAATGAACGGTGCAGTACACTCTTCTTTTTACAACTGTTGCTACATCGATAGGTTTTGTAGTTTGCCTGAAATCCACTTTTATTTCTCTAATCCAGCATGCTGCTCTCTCCTCTTCTGCCTTCTTCCTTCTCTGGTTCCTCCCATTTTCCTCCTGCCCTTTGTCATAAGCTTTGCATTCCCCTTGTCCTGTCATGCATTTTTGCTAGATATTGTACGGCACGTTGACCTGTGGGGAATAACAAGGCTGATTAAACAGACTGCGTCTGCCATTAGATAACCATGGATTTGAGTGCCTCTGTCCTGCTCCGGTGTTCCCTTTTCCACCCAGATAAATGTGAATCTGCCCATCAGAGCATTACTGGAGATCTGGGTTGACTGGAGGAGGGCTTCAGAATTTATTGCAAGCGAGGCAGACAAGCTTTATAAAAAAATGTCATCAAGCTAAACATTTGGCCTTACCTTCCTCTGTATGTAAATACATGAAGAGCAATATGATTACTTACAGCTGTGATTTAAGTGACCTAAGAGGTGAAGACTATGTAAGGTGCCGCCGATACCCTTACAGTTTTTTCTATACAAATACCCAGTTAAGTCAACTGATGGAAACCCAAAATTTTGGTCTATAGAAAATTAAATATTTCAGTAGCAAAAATGAAAATTATTTAAAATGGAGGTGGAAGAGGGAGAGGAAAATTTCCTTTAAAACTATGGTGTTAAAATTTTTGTTACAAAAAGATCAAAATTATATTTTCATGATGACAGTTTTTAGTAATTTCCAAGGTTGAAGCTGTCCAAATATAAACCATCTAAGTTCTATTCAATAAAAGTTTGTCTGGAGAACAGCCAGGGAACCATGAATGCTTTTGGTCTGCAGCTGAGGTAGGTATTTCAGTGTGCTGTGCCAGCACCAGGAAAACCTTGGAATCCCATGTGGTTTAAAACAAGTAGGAGCAAAAATGTTACAGCGTCCCACAGGACACTGTCAAAAAAAGACAGGAATTGTTATCAACTTCCTATTTCTTCATTAAATATATATATATATATAAAAATGGATTCTTATCAAAGGGGGAACGAAAAATACACATCACCTTTCGCAAGCTGCTTTAATGGGTGTGCTAGATTTTTGTCTAGTACACATCTGTATAGAGATGGAAAGGTCTAACATCACTGATATGACAAAGTGTTATACCTCATGGGTTTCTGCTTCTTACATTCATTGATATATTTGTGGAATTCCGAAGGCAGAAGGAAGCCACAAAAAGGTCACAAAACTGCAAGCCAAGGTAAACAGCCTGTCAGGATATGTTTAGCAAATGACAGTGTAAACCACAGAAAAAAAAAAAAATATAGAAAGGAGAGGAAAACCTATTCCCTTGGGAAATACATTTCCTGGTTGGAAAGGCATTGAAGTTCAGAGTTGCTTACATCGCTTCCTTGCTCTTTTCCAATAAATTGTCTTTGTTCAGGTTGCTAATTCAATCCGCAGTCCCAGGCACCTAGGCCATAGGGAAGAGGAATCCCGGTCCTGCAATGGGCACGAGGGAAGGCATTTGGGGTATCACGACTAAAGGAAAAAGCACCTTTCATCCCAGGACTGAACTACCTCTTTGTCATAAACTTTACTTAGTAATATTTGAATATGTATTGAACATAGATACAGCACGAGAACATTTCTTTAGTCATTGCAGAGGGTTGTATTTTCTCCTTTGTACACTGCACAAAAAAAGAAGGATTCTTTGTTTGGTTCAACATGCATTTTAACAGTTTTTACTCCATTGCAGATCAAAAAAACTGGTTCTTGGTTATTTTTCCTAGTTTTTTTTGCATTTCAAGTACAAGATTCTCTTGATGGAGAAATAATTTCAGATGGTTATGCTATGGTCCCCACTGCTCTTTAGCCCTGTGATGGGAAGCTGCAGAATTATGGAGCACAATCTTGTAAATGCTAAAGCATCTGAACCACTTTGTTCTGCTACTTTCACAGCAAGTTCAGACTTCAGTCCAGATGTGCAATGTGAGGAATTTTAGTTGCACAGAAGATTCTTGTGGCAGGCTCTTGCAGCACATTCGGCCTAGATAACTGACAGGAATAAAGTTACTGGCTAAAGATGTCATTATGTCCCAGAAATATGTGAGGGACTTTTTTCTGTTGATGTAGACAGGATTTCTAAAGATTCCCCTTGCAGATGGTGAAATATCTATATTGTGCAGGGAGCTACACATACATTTGTGTTCAGCAGTAAGAAACCAATACTCGTATCTCATATATTTGCTTTTGAAAACAGAAATTTTTGTCTACAGCACCAGACTTGTTTGTTGAACATAAAGGAACAGAAATCCTCTATAGGTCCTGAGGGAGACATTGCAGGAAGGGAGTAGTAACCATTATAAACCGTGCCATATGTACTGTACCATGTTGCCACGAGAAAGTTACGTTCGATTGGCTTATAAAATAGGTTTTAGTAGATCCCTTAAATAGTGAAATTGGTAATTGTGCACACTTCAGTGCAGTACTGGTGAGTGCTATGTAATGATTAGAGTGTTTCCGGATTGATCACTTGGAAACAAGGGGATTTCTGATGATCAGAATGGTATTAGGGTAGGGGGAGGGTGACTGAGAAACCTCTCAATCAAGGTAACGCTGATAACACAGAAAATCAGATTATTTTTTTTTTATTAGAATCACAGCTTGTTTAGGAATGCCACATACCAAGATCAAGAAGAAAAGGATTGAATATGGAACAAACATCCTAACAAACAGAATTATTTGGATCCGTCATGTCTATTAGAAAGCTGAGTTTTATTTGGATTTTTCAGAATACATTTTTGCCCCCTATTTTAACTCTCAACTAAGGAAATTAATTAGTATTTATTTTAAGGGTCTAAGATTTAAACTGTGAAATTTGAGTTTCTCTTTTACTTCAGGGTTACCAGGAGACCAAAGGGTGCAATAGAAAGTACTCTGTAAGTTATGCAGAAGCACTAACACCTGTACTATGCCAGCCCCCAGACATCTTAAGCTCAAGTCAATAAAAATAGTGGTTAACTTACTCACTCTACAAATCGGCAAAGTAGATAATTCTTTCATATTCTTAATTAAAAAAATAAAAAAGGTTATCTTCAGAAACTTCATAAACTGTTTTGGAAAAAAAAAATAATAATCAGTGCTCAAAATCAGTTTGATGAACGTGTTGAGCCCTGAAGTCTTAGTACAATTAATGTACACATTGCCTTTGTAACAAGTTGTGTACCTGATCGTAGAGTAAAAACATTGGTGGATCAGTTAAAACAATTAGAGTTTGGGGGAAATACAAGATGGTGATAAAGTAATTAGTATCATAAGTTCAACAAAGATTTAAAACTGTGGTACATGGCAATAATGGATTTTGAACACGGTTAATGAGCATATTCATTGCATTCATTTTTAATTAAGTGGAAAAAATACTGGTCCTTTAAATGGAGATAATAAATGTGCAAGTCAGTCTTGCACAAACATGCAACACAAGAATTTATTGCCTGCTGTCTAACTAGGGAACTGGAAATCATTATAAAGATTAGCTTTGCTGAAAAAAAAAATCCAGAAAATGCTTTAGTAGAAAATGTTTATGAGGTAATAATTTTCACATTAAATATTGCTTGGCATATTTGGTAGAGTGTCTGTGCATGTTTTTTAAAATATGAGTATTTGCTGTCATCAGAGGTAGGACTGTTTATACCCTTGAAAAGGATTCAAGGCTATTTAGTGATTTAGCTTTAGAGATGTATTTAGCATATGACTACACATGTAAAAGAACGTAAAAATATATATCAGAATATCAGAAATCTTGAAACTCTCTCAGAGGTGTGTTGTGCTTAGAACACAAGGTGTGGTTAAAAAGTAAAATGATGACTCAGAAAGCTGCAGCTGTGAACTTCCAAATGCTTGCTGTGCTTTAACCGATGCCCGCTCGCCTTCCCGAACCTCTGGGCTGCGCTGCCACTGGGGCTCGGAGGGTTTCGAGCTGCAGCGGGGGAAACCCAGCTGAAAGGCTCAGTGTTTATTCTGGCAGCTGGGGAACAGACTTGAAACAGGTTAAAGCACTGCAACAGGACTTACCTTCTAGAGCAGTGGCTTTCAATGTTTTTGTGACTTGAGAACCCCCTAGACATTCCCAGTGGAAGCGAGGACCTTTGCGTGGTGTATTGAAGCTTGTTGATGCCAATTGACTGGTGTTTCTTAGTTTGTTTTCATGGATCTTTTTGAAGTTGCTCACAGATCCTCAGGGATACCCAGACCACATGTTAAAAAGCAATGAAACTAAATCAAACTTAACACTCTTCATTCTCTCAAATGTCCCAACCCATATCTCTTGTTAGTATGACCAAAATATCAGGTTCTTTCTGATGCGCAGTATGTCTAGGTCTTCGCTCAACAAATATCTAATTGGGAGATGCCTAAACTCAAAATGCGCTTCCAAGTTTCCCTAAGCCACCTTAACCTTCCGGAGCTTATTCACCACTGCTGTTACAACAGGGCCAGTTCTCCGTACCACAAAGCCCCGAACTTTCACTGGTGACGTGCAGTATACTGCTACTGATATTGCAGTCTGAGTGACTGGGCCACGCTTAGGCAATTCCAATCCTTTTTTTTTTTTTTTTTTTTTTTTATTCTGACTTTATTCTGCCCTATCCCACATGTTGTAATTGCTTGCCATAAAAGGAGCAAACAAAACCATACTCATGGGTCTTTTCAAAATGCTAACTCTGCTTTTATTTTTTTAACCTCACTGCATGATTTTATTATGTATTTAAGCCAGTAGCAACTTGGAAGCTAAGTTTAAAATAGCTGTCTCTGATAGCATACTTCTAGCATTAAAAAAAAAAAAAAAAAAAATTGCAAACTGCAGAGTCAGTTTATTAATTAAAGCAGGAAGTTTATAGACATTTTGTCTGTAAATAAACATTTGATTTTCTTTTCTGTTCAGGTATGACTTTGTAGAAGTTGAAGAGCCTAGTGATGGCACTGTTTTAGGGCGCTGGTGTGGTTCCAGTAGTGTGCCAAGCAGACAAATCTCCAAAGGAAACCAGATCAGAATAAGATTTGTGTCTGATGAATATTTTCCTTCTGAACCTGGATTCTGCATCCATTATACACTTCTTATGCCAGTAAGTAACATGTTTCAGATTGGAACATTTCAGGAAAACAAAATCTTTGAAGTGGTAGCTCAAAAGAATATTTTAATAGTTTAGGATTAATTACTGTTTATTTCTTAATAATAATAATAATAATAATAATAATAATGAAAAATCTGTCTTCCAGAATTGTACATTTTGTTTCTTGGTTGTTTTTTGGGTTTTTTTGTGGTTTGTTGGTTTTTTGTTTTTTTTTTTTAACTAACTGAGTGTTCTTGTGGTTCTTCTTGGATGGCTTTGGACTGGGAAGTTGTGGGCTTGGTTGTTTGTGTGGAAACTTCAATAAAATGTTTGCATTCCTAATACAGTACTGTGAAGAGAAAAAAAAAAAAAAAGATTTCTAGCCTTGAAAAGAAGAAAAATCAGCATAAGAATCAGCTGTGTGACCCTGAAAGAGCATTGGGAAGTTACAAAGAAGATTGAAGAAATTAATGTTTTTATTAGTCAGCTGCTATTAGACGTACACAGCCAAATGATTATACCTAGTTCAAAACCAGAGGAGTTCTTATGCTTCTGGATTGTTTTATTATAGTGACAAAGCAGACAATGCATAATACTCATTTCCCACTGCATTTTCCCTGGAAACTGTACTTTAGTCTTCTCTCGAATGTTGCTTAATGCATGTAAGTCATAGGTATTAAACAATAGTCATTGTCTAAAATGTGACTATTTTCACTGTCAACAGATTTTTGTTACCTTTTTTCACCAAATGAAAGATCTGTGATAGCAAAACAATGTTTATAGATTTTTAAGGATGAGATAATGTCTGAAACATTAAGAGTGGAGCAGAACAGAGGTTGACTTGTTTTAGAATAGGTATTCCATATTTAAAGAGAATAAGGAGTATTTTTGTTAAATTCCTCATAACTCACTTTGTGAATCTCCTAAGTAGTCTTGTGGTCTGTGGCATTTGGTTGGTGGAAAATATCTGCAAGCTCAATAAAAAATTGATCAAAAGAATCCATGTTGTAACCCCACTGACGTGCACTTCGCTCAAAATGCATTTGGCTTGCTTATTGCTTTTGCCGTTTTTGCCTCGTCTGCCCGTTTGCAAAACTTCAGTTGATGAGAAGAAACAAAGAATAATTCTGCATATCTTTTCAACAATGCATAATCTTCTACATAATATACTTAGCATACCGGTGATGATGTCAGTGAAGTGTAGTGGTGTGTGTGTGTATATGTATATATGATATTTTCCGTCATTTTCCTCTATTTTTAAATATTTAGGCCTAACTAAGAACTATTCCTAAAGTGATTAAAGGTTTGATCTGCATATTTGACTCTTGTGAGGTAGACCCATTTGTTAGTAGAATAGTACAACCTAATAATGATGAATTTTAAAATTAAATAAAACGTCAATCAGTCTCCAAACCAACTTGAAATATGGCCAGGTTTAAACTTTCGTACACCCGAGGGCAGAATGTAGTAAGTATGTTGACTTTTAGCAAATGGTAAAAGAAAATCCCTAAATAGATATATTAGTGGGCTGATGCCAAATCTTGTTGTTGCAGCTCTAATATTACATCCTACCTGCTACATATCTATCTGACTTGTGTATGATCCAATTTCTGTGGAATGGATTAAACAAAGGCACCTAAAAATACCACTGTATATGTGTAATTAACTTGATGCCATGGTGTACAAATGGACTGAGTTTAGTCCTTGGCATTTGATGGAGAAACCTGGTTATAACTTTTAAATTATCAACACTTGCAAAACAATTCTTTCATCTTCAAAATATTTACATCATTTATTCAATAGACAAAAGCAGAGCTGACATCACAGGATGCATTTTTAGTTCCCCATTTTTCTCCATTAACAAAGCTCATGTAGCATAAGAAGCATACAGACAAGCAGGCATGTTATCTCTTATATAAGTAACAGGCAAGAGCAGAACCCTTCATGTTATAGGAATTCAGAACTAGCCCCAAAATGTGCACTGTAACAACCGCTTATCGGTTGGTGAGGATTAATTTCCAAGTCTCTCTTTAAAAGGGCTGTGATCTCTTTCATCAAAAATTCTGTCTTAATAAGCCATGCAAAATAGAATTTCACATTTCAGACTGCAGATTGTAAATGAAATCTGTATTGCTGAGTTTCAGGATTAGACGTGCTTCTTGTACCTAAAGCAATTGAAAACTGATGCCAAAACAGTGTGGTTTTCTTTAAAACTATAATGCTATCTTATCCAACATTTTAAGAGAAACTAAAATTTACAGTCCCCCTTTCCTTCCCACCTCCCCGCAAAAATGATGTCAGCTATAGAAATGAGTGTAAATTTTAAATAATTCTTGCAAAAACATAACTGATGCGCTTAGTGATTCACTTCAGTTGGTCTTAAACAGTTAAATATTTTTTTCCTCATTTTTTGACAAGAGGGGGAGGGGGGGATGCCTGGTAGACTAGCAATGAGAGATTGTTTGGGGAGAAATGAAGCAAAACTGAAATAAAACAGTGCAAGCTTGTTTCTGTATTTGGAGGCCACACACAGAGAGGGGCACCGGACACATTTTCAGGTCTTTTAAAAAGCAAGAGAAATGGCTTTGTTTAAATCTGCTGTAATTTATCGTATATATATATTTTTCCTTTGTATATTATATTTCAAACCAGCTTTTCACATGATGAATATGTAGGGGAAGAATGCCTATTGATCTGATTACATTACTTCTAAGATTTAGTCACTCAAAAGGACCCGCAGCAGTTCCAATGTCAATAAATGCAACATCATTTTTTAGAAAGGCTTGCCGTGGGATTGTAAGGCACCCCATAAAAGCAGTGCACGTACTGTATACAAGCAGAATGCTTCCTGAGAAAAACATGAAGCTTTTCTTTGGATTCTAGCTAATTGCAGTTTAATTACTTGAATTTCTTCCATTTTAAATTGTGTACCCTGGGTACCTCTAGAACTTTCTATAATTCTGGTCTAATTCCACTTTTCTTTTCTGTGTTCTCTAAGTTGCAAGTTAATTTTGTCTGGAATACCATAAAGTGGAAGGAAGTGTTGAAAAAGCTTATTCTTCCTAAGAAAATGTAGTTTGTGTTATTTCAAAATTATTATGCTGCTTTCAGCACAGCTGTTATTCTCAGTCACTCTTTTCATGTCACTTAGTCTGTGCTTACTGGTGAGCTGCTTTATTCACTAAGGGCTGCTTAGCGGTTGTTCTGCCTTTTGACTGTTCAGCTATGCATTTATTAAAAGTCATGTTTTTGGCAGCACTATACCACCTAAACCCTCCTAGAACTTTATTGCAAAACCAATCCGTCTTTCACTTCTTTTCCCCTTCTTGCTTGCCCCCAGTTACAGCCCTAATCCATATAGTAGCCACATGCAATTGAGGGAAACCTTATAAACTCATATAATATATGTTTGGGCTTCAGTCTTCCTAGTGACTTGTTTAGTTTAAATTATGTCAGTTACAAGTTTGGCAGAGAAAACTTGATGTAATAAAGTCCATTGTTACTTGGGGAGCGGGTGAATGGGATACTTGATGCCTGAGGTGCCATTAAGGAATGCATGACTGATTGCCAAAGTAGTTATTAATTATTCAGGGCACTCAGAACAAAGCAGCTCCAGTTAAAGTTGAAGCTGGGGGTGACTGTATTCGCCTTCTTTTTTGGCATATGGTAGCATGTCATTTGTCATCAAAGATCACGCCCAAGATCTTTGTAAAGAACAGACTTAACCCTCTTCTATGCAAGTGAAGATGAAGAGGAAAATCCAAGAGGCTGCTTAAAGACTGACCTAGTTTAAAAGTGACTTGGCAGGTGTTTTGTGATTTTGGTGCAGTACCTGTATTGCTACCTGGATTTCAGTCCAAGGGAGATGCTGCCAGTAGTGCTCTTGCTATTAACAGTAATGAAAATTAAATTTAATACTATGCAGATAATCTGTTTAGGGCTATCTAATAGTTGTTCCTTTATTTCAACCGAATTGGCTAAGCTTTGCTCTTTTAGGGGTTGAGCATGTTAATTTTGGTTGTGGAATCTTTTTAATTGAGCTTGCTTAATGAAAAAGGCAAGTAAAATTTAAATACTAATAGAAAAAGTGCATACTAATAGAACAGAGCAAGGAAAGCTCTTACCTAGAATTCCTTTCCTTTCAGAAGTCTACAGATTTCACAGATGTCAGGTGTGTATCTCATGTGTCGGTACCAAAGCCCAAGAGAGGCTTAACTTTGGTTGCAATAACAGAAAATCCATCCAGAAACATCGTAAAGGACATTATTGATCTCCTAAACAAAGGTTTTTCTACACTCTCCTATGAAGTAATCAAAAGGGTTTGGAAATAACACAATTTCAGGGTTGTTTAAGCCAAGGTGGTATGAAGCAGCAGGAGAGCGTTCAAGTGTTATGTAGCACTTTGCAATGCTACCTGAAGTGAAAAAGGACCATGAAAATCCTTCATATGATGGAAACGACTCTTAAAGAAAACCTCTGTGTTCAGAGTTTCCACTGATTAGGTATAGTGAAGCCCAGATAAATCAACAAACTCCTAAAGATGCTCCAGCATGCAAATTGAATCATTCAAATTTTTTTGTGTGTGGCAAAAATTCATTGTAAATCAGATAGGTTTGGGGGCTAATTCTTTCCTTGGAGATTTCACTTTGCATTAAATTTATGCTCAAAGTCTAAAGAGAAATTCCTTTTAAATTTCTTAAATGAGACATTAAAGGTCACCCCAAAATGCATAAATAGGGGTGACGTGCTTCAGGTTAATCAGAAAACTACAAAAAGTACAAAACCAAGGATGGCTAATATCCATGGGACTACAATGAGAGGGGAAAAAAACCTTTGAAGCAGAAAGAACTGCTGAAGGATATTTCCTAAAGAATTTATAAGATTGTTTTCCTGTGACCATATCTCATGTTGTCACATGGACCTCAAAAAAATTTAAAAATCTGTGTATGTGAAGCATACTTTCAGAGAGACAGGGTTAGAAATAAATCTAGCAAAATTGTTCTAGCAAAATT